CCCCAAAACCCCAAAACCCCAAAACCCCACTAGGTGCTGAAATTATTGAAAGCTCAGACAGTTTATATTTCTTTCATATCAAACGACTTTTCGTCAGCCTCCTCACTCTGCTCTATTTCGGCTCTATATTCTTCCTTATCTTTTGACGAGGCATCTTTAACCCTCTTTCTTTGCTTATAAACAGAGAACGGCTCCACCATGTGGTTGCCTGTGTGGAGTTTAAATCCTTTCTTGAGCTCACTATCAGGGGTTATACATGTGCTTGAGAGCGTTTGTGTGATAAAGCTTACTCTAAGTCGTCAGGAGAAATCTTCTGCCTCCCTTCTACAACGGAGTCTCCCTTGAGCTCCTCTACAAATAAAAATACAGGTGTACCTTTCTCAGTAACCATCTTCGTAGATGGGCGACTGAACAGATTTGTGTGCAGTTTTTCTACTGTCTTGTCAAGATCTTGGGATGACTATTTTAGAAAAGATATGTAAATTCAAAATTAGAACAGTAATCTTACCTTTTCTGCGCGCGCCAAATGAGGCCTGTTTCCCATAAGTTGAGTAGGGTAATCTGCATTAACTCTTTCGCTCTGTTCATTTTTCTAAATCAGAGTCAGTCTGAGAATACACTTTACCTTGAAGTTGGCTCCGCTCATGTCCTGAGTTGCATTTCTTAGGATATCATTTCTATTAAATTTTCACACTCTGCTTGTCTTGAATAGCGTCGTGTACTGGGCTTTACAGCAACTCTGCAGAACTGTGAGTAATGGAATCAAAGCCAGCAATCCACCATTTAAAAATAGAATAGTCAGGAAGAGTCCTGAAACAGTGTCAGGCCAGTCATCTGAGGAATCTTGGAATATCAAAATTGTTGTAAGCACTGCCATGAACAAAGAGTTGAGACAAAACACAATATTATCTGGAATCGTTTTGAAAGGCCTTGCAAACGCTAGATATATCAGAAATACGACTTCAGTTGCCAAGAACACTCCAACTCTTCCTGCTCCGTGCTTTTGATCATGAGCCATAGCTGTGCTACAAAGCACAAACTTCTTGACTAAGAACATGAAAGGATAAATTGCCTTGACTGGGTTCGTTCCAATTCCTCTGTACATTTCATTTAGAGCACCTGGAAGCCTGGAAGAGCCTGAGATAACTATTTTTAGGTAAAAGCCTAAGAATGCCACTGTATAAACTGCACACAAGATACAGACAGCCTGGGCAATATCATAAGTCCATTCTCTGCCTGGCTGTTTGCCCTCGCCTAATTCTGAAAGAGAAGTGATCAGGTACAATACCATCGATAGAGAGATCAGTCTGAACCAGATTGAAGGCCCTAGCAAGGATCTTAGCATGTGACACATTCTTCTAAACTTGCTAAATTCTCTGGCTTTTCTAACTCCTCTGATGTAAAGATGGAACAGAACTAAGTTCACAAGAAACATCAGCCCGAAAAATAGTAGGTTATTGGCGATGTTGAGGATAGTTGAGGAGTAATGGAAGTCAAAAAACTCTAGCCCAGGCACATTTATAGGGAAATCTTTTTTCAGAGAATCTGAACCTAACTGATCAAGCCTGAAGAAGTTGAAATTAAACAAAAGAAATGACATATCTCTCAGAAGCCATATCATATCCAGAGAATACAAATTCCCAATCAATGCTGTCAGGATTAACAACTGAATCTGTTCTATCATTGCATTGGTCATCCAGTAATACTTATTAGTGATAAACCCAGCTGCCAGTGAAAATAATACTCCTAATATAATTCATACTAAAAGTGCATAAAAGAACCCATCAAACCTGTCTGACTCCTTCTTCTTGACACACCTTGAGTAATCGTGCTCATTAGTGAAGGCAAATGGGCATTTAGATCACTCAGTATAGCCAGATTCAGCAGAACATGTATAGCCATCTTCAAATCGGCATGAGCTTGAGCATCCATCAAAATCAAGTTCGTTCCCATCGTCACAGTTTTCAATGCCGACAACAAGGCCGTCTCCGCAAGCAGGAGTACACTCCGTTGGACTTGAAGGGTCAACTCCGGAGTATCCAGCTCCACAGTACGAGAGCACGTTGGAGGGACCAGAGCCTGCATATGTTGGGTAGTACAGATACTCAGTTGGAACCACAATGTTGGCTTGTCCTGTGTAAGACCAGTAGCAGTAAATGCTAGCTGAGCCCGTGGTCTCGGTCCATACAAGCTTGAAGTCGTAAAACTGATCTTTAATGAGGGTTTCGGTGAAGCTGAGTGGAGAGCCTGAAGTACTTGTGCCTTTAGACACTCCATTAAAGAACACTTCTTGTTGGTCATCTACATTCATGGTAAACGTCACTGCTCCAGAGTAAGCAGACCTGACTTTGAAGAAATAGTTTGAAGACACACTATCAGACCGAGATGCTGTGACAAGTCCGGTTCCAAAGTTCTGGTTGACTTGAGTCTGCACAGTGGTCGAAGCTGGCGTTCCAGATGCAGTTGTTGAGTCAAAGAATTCAGACAGAGCTCCAAACTGTGTGTACATGAACACATAGACTGTGATATTTCCTTCCCAAACTGTGCGGTAGTAAAATGTATATGTGCCATCAAGGTTGTCATACATTCTTCCGCTGAATTCTGTGGAAAGAACTGCTTTTTGACCTACAACGTCTATACATTCGAAAGAAGCTCCTTTAGCTCATTCGTTGGTAACATGAGCCCAGAAAATATCTCCTCCAACATTCCTATTATTCCCTGAACTATCTCTTGCCGTGACAGTGATGACATTATCTTGAAAAGCTTCCACAGAGGCTAAAGAATTAGCAAAAAGTACAATTGAAGCTGACTAAAGTCTGAGAAGCATCTGTTCCGCCTACAAGGTTTCTTCTCTGGTCACTTGTATCATCTATACCACCAGCATTAGGATCAAATCTTAATATAAAACGTATTTTAACTTGAAGCAAACTTATTTTCAGCTTTATTTTGATCATAAAACAATATCAGAGATCACAAACTATAACATTGTGGTCCCACACTTCAAAATAACACTCCAAATAAAAACTAAAAGTAATCTAAATCTACCGCTAATTCAGCTTCAGTGCTGAAAGAATATGAATATAGCAAAACTATTAGGGATGCATTATTGGAGTTTGGGTCAATTGGAGCTTTTAGCCAAAAGGAAAGTTGTAGATATTTATACAAACTGAAAGAGTATTAGCCATATGCTTATCGATAGAGCTGATAAATCTGACTCTAATCTAAAAGATCTTCTCATAGGCTTCTTTTATCCTTCATCATCAGTTCCTTTCTTAAGATTGGCTTCATCTTACTATTTCTTTAAGTTTTTATTTTATGCCCTCAAGATTATAAATTTTTATCACTCATCTATTAATAAAGACTAAGTTATGCTAAACATAAATAAAATGCACTAAGCAAAACTGTCTCAGAATAAGTCATTGAGGAAGATTAAGATCAGCTACATCTTCTTCATTCAGGACTAAAGCCCAGATCATATCCTCCATCTAGAGTATGAAGATATATTGGAAAGGAGACCTTCTACTTTTGCTAAATATTCTATTCACAGATTTCCCAATTGATATTTAGTACTTCCAAGAGTTCTTCTGGATATCACCTTCGAATTACAGGCAAATATCTTATCTCTATTCCAGAATTCATGAAATTGACATTCACGTGAGAAGGATCATAAAGGAAGATCTTGACTCAATCTGCTAATAAGTTTAGCAATGAGCTGAGGAGGTAAACTTCCCAATTTTTAGAGCAAAAGAGCAATATACACGCTGAAACTCACTTTGATAATAGCTAGTGATATAATCTTGCCCAACATCGACTAATCAAGAGTGTTGAGAGATATGCCAAAATACAGACCATGGAGAGTAGGAAAGAATCTAGAACTAATGAGATTCCGTTCAAAATCCAATCTCAGTAATTTTGGGGATTTTATGATCAAACAGGCAGTTAAGCCATGCCAGAGCAGGAACAATTAACTTAAGCAAACTCATAGAATATTTAGCAGACGTAAAGAATATTTATAGTAATAAGAGAAGGATGCTCAAAACAAGCTTACTCCTAATACTTTATAAAACAGTAATTCATCCTAGAGCCAGGATTTAACATCATAAAATTTGATCTGGCTTACTTTCTGCTTCTATATACTTCTCAATATATACATGTTGATAATTTTTGGAGTACTCAAAAGAAATCTTCCGTTAGCAGGAGAGTATTCATCCTCGATCAACCAGATAACTGGGAAGAGCTGACAAGGCAATGGTAAAAATCAGCCCAGAAAGTATTGCATTGATATAGAGAAGAACTTTCAAAAGAATGCTAGTGGAGATAAAAAGAGATAAGATAAATGAATAAAGTCTAAAAGCAATTGCCAAGCAAATGCTCAACTGTTACATAATTTCAGTTGTTATACTTAAAGTAATTAAATTTGTCTCAAAATTTAACTCTTAACCTCTGACATGGTTCTACTTCCCAAAGTTCCAAAGCACTATTACAATTTCATTGAAAGCAAGTTTGAAATTACTAATATGCAGCAAATGATCAAATAAATTAAAGATCTTTCTTTACCTCAAGCAGCAATCTTTTTTAATAATTATCAATAATCTCATCCTCCTAAGGAGCATTACTAAGTAATTTAGAAATCCTAAGAAACATGAACTGATCTTAATATTGAGGAAAATTAGCATAAATAACAAAGAATACAGAAGCTGCTTAGATCTCCTACACAGCTGATAAGATTAGCTACACTATCAAAAATCCACTTACATGCATTCTCATGTACAGCTTCAGAAGCCATGATACACAAGAAGAGCATTCCAAAAACTAGCAGTTTCTTGCAACCTGGGCCAAACTTAACCCTTGTTTTGGATGCAATCTTTGCTGGAAGGTATGAAGATATTGTGGCCTTCATTTTATTTATTCGTTTTTATCAATTAAGATAACTTTATAAGGGGTTTTGGGGTTTTGGGGTTTTGGGGTTTTGGGG